GCCAGGCCCAGGCCTCTGGCTCCATCCGCCCGAGCCTGACCTCAGGCCCAGCATCTTCTCTGGCCACACTAGAATGGCCGTGGGCTGCAGGTCTGAGCAAACATCTCCCTACGTGGTAAAGAGGGCGGCCCCGGCCATGACCCCCCAGGAGGCCAGGCCCAGGGCCAGGCTGTGCACTCCGGGACTGGCCCACGCCGGGTGCCGGCGTCCGTGCACCGCCATCTCTCGCCACACGCATGGCTGGAACACGAGGAAAGATCTCAACTGACAACAGTCCGGGTCGGCCCCGCGGATGCCCACAGGGACCTTCCTTGATGGGAGGACATAACGGGCAAGACACTCCAGGCCTCTCTGATTAATCATTTAATTTACAGACGCCGACGTCCTGGTGAGGCTGAGCCGGCTCCCCAACCACACGGTGCCTCGGTTTTCTCATGCGCCGAAGGGCAATCCGGGGATGACGGTCACGGTGACGGAGCTGATCCTTACCAAGTGCTCTGAAGTGCAGTCTGGTGTGTAGTAGGAGCTCACAAACTGTTTCTATAGTTTTGTAGATGGACTTTTAAAAAGTATCCCAACACAGCCTGGATTTCTGTGTCATTAAGTGAAGATCTGACCCGAACTCTTTAATTGCTGTTAGATAACGCCACAGCTTCATTAAGCCATTCCTCACGGACGGACTGGAGTTTTCCCTCGGGGGACGGCCACGCACAGCCTGGTTCACGCTGTGTCTGCGCACGTGGCTTAAACGTCTCTGGAGTCTGCGACCGATTTACATTTTAACACCGAGCCCTAGTGGGCGGGGCCGCTTCGCAAAGCTGCCCCTCCGTGTCCCGGCCAACGGCAGAAAACGCCCAGTTCACCTGGAGCTCACTGACATCACGTCCAGTTATCAGGCCGCCGCGGCCCACGTACAGACTCCATGGAAACACAGCTGCCGCTCCCAGCGCATATGGCAGCGAGGGCTTCTCAGGAGCCATGGGCGTGACAGGGAGAGAGACCAAGCTCTTCGTAGGGGACTCAGAAAACCCTGGGTGGGAGGCACACTGCACGAGGAAGAAGGCAACAAGCACATGGTTGAGAGCGTAACTGGAGTCATAATTCGGGTCCGGTGAGTGAGGGCCATTTGAATCCACCCCAGGCTAGACCTCAGGGACACTTGTCTGGTCTCACGGAGATCAGGGTGCAAAGGAGCTGGTTCACTCACAACCCCACAGAAGCCCAGGAATCAGGGGCTCGCTGCTCTGAACCCAGGTGCGGGCAGTGGCGCAGGGACGGACATGAGGGGAGGGAGCCGCGGCGCCCACAGGGCAGCGCCCAGAGGAAGTGGGTCTGACCTCTGCACCCTCTGCCACAGTAGGTCCGGCATCGGCAGGGCCAGGCGCACAGTGGTCCCTTCGGGCTGGGTGACTCCGGGACACTGGTGAGGCTCCTTACACATCCCTTACGAAGTATCAACCTTCTCTGGGGAAGGGAACTGGGTCTCGCAGAGTGCGGGCCAGGGGGCGTCTCAGACGTGAGGGCGCTTCTGCTTCTCCAGAGAGACACGTGCCTGGCCAGCACGGCTGCCTCGGTGTCAAAGCCCGTTCCAAGTGCTAACTTCTGCTGGCTGTGCAACGTGGAGGCGGCGGAGGTGACAACCTAAAAACACCTCAGAGCCTCTGAGAAGAGCCAAGAGAATTCGCCTCTGATGGACAGTCCCCAAAGTGAAGCTGTTCTAATAAAACGAGTGTCTTTGGAAAGGGTAGCACAGAAAATGAAAAGTGCGTACTTCCAATGAGATCATGCAAAACACCTAACAGAATCTCCCAACCCGAATTTTCCTAGAAATCTTAAAAAAAAAAAAAGAAGGGTGAACACTCATAACTAGACATTTCGTAAGGTCACTTCCTTCTTTTTTCAATCAGGCAAATAAGAAACACCTACTAAATCTGACGTTCAAATGACCGTCTGCGGTTTGACCCCCCCCCTTAAAAGGGCCTCCCCAGGGGCCTCCGATCTGTGACCTGGTCCCGCCCTTTCTTGCTCCCACTGGGTCTGGGAGACAGAGTGCTTGTTCCTCTATCTGCCAGCATTCTGACAAGAACGGACCTTATCTGGATGCTCTTTTCCAAATTAACTTTTGGCTCAGTTCTTTTCTGACCCCAATCTTACACTAAGTGCATGCACTGGAACACAAGAATCTTTATCTACTATTCGAGGCGGAAGAAAGTTCATTATACAAACGACGCATAATTTTACTTAGAATTACACCCAAGACGCACAGTGTGAATTTTCCCGTGTGATTCATGGAGCAGTTAATAAAAATCACAAGGAATGAAAAGTATAACTTTAAATAAATGTCAATGAAAATCTCTACAGCGGTGGTTCTCAAACCTGAGCATGCATCAGCAACACCCCCGCAGCTGAAGGCGGGGCCCGGCCCAGAATCTGATTCCCGTCAGCATCCGCCCTCCCAGCAGCTCCCAGGCGATGCTGCCGGCCTGGGCCCCGCACTCGGAGGACCACCGCTCTAACACAGGTCTATCCCCCCGAGACCACTCTCACCAGAGAGGAGGCCGGGCGTCCCGGAAGCCCCGGAACGAGAGCCAGCCAGGAGACCCCCCCTTCCCAAGGTCATGCCTACTCACACCTGTGCACTCTTAGCTCAACCAGTACACTTCCGCCACGACTCACTGAGCTTCTGCACGTAGGAACTGTGTCCAACCTCAAGCAGCTTTCAAAGTCAGAGGCGCCCGCGGATCTGTCCACAAACCACAACCACACTCACCAGAACATCTGGGTGCCATCAGACAGACAAATGCCATCGTGGGCCTCGGAAGCAGCTTGCTTCTCGGGCAAACGGGAAGGTGACATCCTAACAGCGACGGCACTTGGGCACACACGGGCTTTGAGGTGGAAAGGAGACCAGATGGACCGGCCTCTCCTTGTTGTTCAGCTCTGCTTTCATGCACTAGCTTATTTCTCTGCGAGGCGGAGCCCGGCGAGACCAGGATGGCCCCGGCAGCTGACAGTCACTGGCACCTCATCAGTCACACGTCCATTCCAGCAAGGAGGGACTAGAACACACTGCTGAGCCCGCCCGGCTCAAACCTCCTCAGGCCGCACGGACTTGGAGATGAGGTCGTTTCCCAAAAGCAAAGCAGGGTGTTACTTCCAGAAGGAAACCGCGCGCAACAAAACTCAGTGCTGTCAGGACGTGGAGCCCAGAGCTGGGATCCAACAGGTAACCGACCGCCGGAGCGGGAGCCAACGGCACAAAACACCCCTACCTACCTGTTGGGTCCTCTGCCAGCGGACTGGGGACAGGCTGGCTGGGGCTCTGCCCCACAGGCTGGCTCCCCCAGGAAGCCCGTTCCGAGCCTGCAGCACCGGCACTTACTGCCTCTCCAGGAGCGGTGCTCCCCAGGGTGCTCCTGCTGTGCGGATGGGGGTGGGGGTGGGGAAATGCGGGTGGGGATGGGGATGGGAGGGCACAGTGCTGGCCGAGAGGAAGCCCGGGCTCTGCCAGCGAAGGCAACAGGCCTGTGCAGAAATGGCCCCAGTGGACTTCCTGGTCCCTATTGCATGACTGAGGGTCACACGATACACTACATATGCACCTACACTGTACCTATGTACCTGCCTACCTGTCTACCTCCACACACAATGGTCTGAACAGGACCCTCACAGGAGATGGGCATCTCCCCTCGGGTCTGTGGAAACTGACCCGGGCAGCAGGCCCTTCCCAGCCCCCAGCTTGGTCCACCTGTGCCCTGGGGCCAGCTGGGAAAAAGCAGCATGCAGACACTGCCCTTGCCTGTCCCCTGAGCAGGACGCTGCCTCTGGACGTCAGCGCACACGACCCTCCGGGAGTGAGCCCTGTCCTGTGTTGGCCTCCCCAGCACAGCCTTCCTTGCTGCCCCCGACGCCTGTCTGTCAGTGACTGTGGACTGTGTGTCGCTGCCGTGAGGACAGGAGCCCGCCCACCCGACGCTGGCACTGAGAACTCCTCAGCTTGCTCCCCCTGGATCCAACACAGAGGTCAGGGTCAGGGTCAGGGCACGGCACGGGGGCATGCAGGGAAGACGGTTTCAGTGACTGGGGTCCCAGTGCAAATGATGGGACAGGCCGATTACTCACACAGCAGATTAGCTACATCCCTTGGCCTCCTCGTGGACACTTTACTGCTCACTACCACCTCTCCTAAATGTGGAGAAGGAAGAGGGGCCACCTGTCACCTTGACAGGTCCCCTCCCCCACACCAGCCCATCCGGCCCAACAGAACCGCAGGGAGGGAGCCAGGGAAGCACATCCGGGCCCTGCCTCTGGGCCCGACTGAGCACGGCACTTGCTGATGAAGGGAAGGGTCTGAAAACACCCTCACAGCACATGTGATGCTCTGGGAGACACTCCTCACAGATGCTGTGAACCGATGCGCTTCCTGTGTCATTGGAGTTTTCGCATAGACCAGGCCACGGCAGGACTTTCCTAAGTTAACGCAGACGTCGGCACCTGTAAACCTGGACAGACAGTGGGTTATCCCCCCACACCGGCCCCGAAGTCCGGGTCAGCTCGTCCAACCAGTGACGCCAGGGCTCTGAAGATTAAAGGTAAGGTGTCCACAACTAGTATTAAGAATCACCTGGTTTAATTAAAAAGAAAGTTAAAAACATTTCGAAAACAAGGTCTGCTCTGATAATTTTATGCGTTTTGAAAAAGAATCCTTTTAATAAGCGGCTATAAAACTTACTAGTGCAACATCAAAAGTTACAAAATCTGTTTCTGACCGCACTGCATCCATCCCTTACGTGGGGCTCTCCGGGAAGGGGCAGCGGAGGCTCCGGAAGAAGGGGTTCCACTAACGGCAATAACCCGGCCACAGCAGCTCGCCTCCCTTCCCTGCATCTGACAGGAAACAGCCCCGCTCCTTCCAAGGAAAAGGTGCTGAGCCGTAATTACCACTAACCCTTAGACACGAGTGACGCGCCTTACGCGGGGACGTAAGAACGGAAGGACCCCCCGTTCTCCAGACACACAAACCACACGAGGGGCCGGCGGTGACAGCGACCTGGGCCAACAGATCGGAGGTCGCCGGTGTCCGGAGCGTGTGGTCTCCCCGGACGACGCCGAGTGCTGGGACCCGATGCTGCGCCATGTGTTTCCCACTAAGGGGAGCGGGACCCAGACCATCGCACCCCCGCACGGCACAGGTGGCCCTGCCCCACACACATCTCACACGGGGGGAGGTGAGTCGCCACCGCGCCGCTTACAATTACGCCTTCCTTGCACCAGAACCAACCAGAAACCCCTGAGGAAACGTGTCCTCTGACGTCCGCTCCCTGTCACGCACCCGTGCGGTCAATTTTACCGACAGTGAAGGCACAGAGATGACGCGGCAGAAACGAGTTTTCCGGGGTCGAGCCCTGGGGGAGCCCCCTTCTCCATTTATTAGGAACAGTGGGTCCGACAGCCGTTACTTGTTTTTGCTGAGGGTCCTCTGCTTCTCTGCGTGCTCCACGATCTTCTCCTCCACGTGGAGGCCCTTCCGCCTGCGCACTGCGTTCATGTACTTCCGGGCCTGGTTCTCCGAGTCCGCCTTCTCCCCGAAGTGCAGGTACTCCTCCTCCGTGGTCGGCACCCAGAAGGGGTCGCTGGGGATGACCTTGTAAAAGAAGGCAACAGAACATGCGGGGTTAGGCAGGTACACGCGCGTCCCCAGCGCCGCGCCACACGGCATGTGCTGAAGAAGAGAAGCGAAGCGGGGAGCAGTTACGCGTGGAGGGGCCACGATGCACTCGAGGGAAACCGGAGGGAGGGACGAATGGAAGCAGGCCTGACAGAACCCCAGACACGTGTGATGCTTTCCCTGCAGAGACGTCACGTACCACTAAGGGAGAAGGAAGCCTATTAATTTTGAGTGACATAAAAGGCCCTCCGTTCAGCAGAACAGACTGGGTTTCAGTGTCTTTCATTAAATCTGCTTCTGTGCCCAGAGAAGACCAGCACGCTGAACCCATTCTCCACTACTGTGAGCCTCGCTCCAAACTCCGGCGGGCGCCTGGTGAGCGGGCCCGGCTGGACTGCGCGCCCGCCCTGGGCCACAGGCAACACAGCAGCCTCCTCTCCCTGGGGCCCTGGCCCCGGCCCACCCACTGCTCTGCTGGGAGGAGGACACATCCAGGGGAAGGTGTGCTGAGAACTGTCTCTCTCTGAGGCTGCTCTTGAGGGGAAGGGGGAAGGGCAGAGCTTGGGGAAGGAAAAGCAGCTGAGAAAGCATCAGTCTGGAAGCCAGACTGGGCAAGGGGCTTAGCCCCCTGAGATGACAAGCACCCAAGTCCTAAAGTCCCAGGAGGAGGTGAACCTGGACTTGGATACAAACTGTCCTGAGGGCCGTCACCAAGGGAGTGACTTCCAGGACAGGAGAGAAGACTCCAGGAGCCCACCGCTCTGCCTCCTCCCAGGGTCCCCACAGAGTCTGGCTGGCGGGTGGGAGCAGAGCAAACAGCCTTGACTAGCCTGGCCTCTTCTTCTATGGAAGCAAGCTGCCCGCACGAAGCCCGTGCCAGCTCCGTCCACTGCTGCTCTGCCGAAGGGGCGGGCTGACAAGGCCCCCTGAACTCAAGGTCATCCGGGTGCTTTCCCACAGCGCCCGCCCTCTGCAGGCCCCACCCAAGGCCCAGGAGGTCAGCCTGCCCAACGCCCCCGGCTGGTTGGAGCTGTGGATTCCTGCTCCAAACAAGGGCCCCCTCTGGGCCCTCCACCAGGCTCCGACGCCCTCTTCTCCCATCACGGCGGGCCTCTGCTGTGGCTGTGCCACAGGCAGATACAAGTGACTATTTGTCTTTGACAGCACGCATCCTTCCTGTTTGCTTGGGAGATGTATGCGGCATGAACGAACGGCTGCATGCCTGCCTTAGTTGCAGAAAGCTCTGCCTTTTATTAAAAATGGGCGTTCTCCCCCCCTCTTCCTGACTGCCTGACACCCGCACAAGCAGACAGATTGTACACCTCCCAGAACAATCGAAAAGGCGGCAGAGCAGAGGGTGGTACCGCTCATCCAGCTGGCCCCCCACCCTGCTCAGGGGAGGTGCGGGTGCTGAGGGCTGGCGAGCCTGGGGGCCGCCGTGGCTGGAGACAGGCAGTGTGTGAGGACCCCTGATGCCGGGAGGGACCGCACGGTGCCAGACTGGACTGGGCCAGACCGGCCACTTGATGGTGAAGAGCGGCGAGGCCCTGGGGGGCATCATGCGGGGCTGCGTCCCTCTCGTCCTCCCCACCGGGCAGGCGCAGAAGCCCTCTCCTCCAAGGGGGAGGGAGAGGAGGAGGAAGGCCAGCGGGGCAGCCACCTGGGCAGCCGTCCACAAAGGCAGGCCGTCCCCTCACAGACCGGTTTTAAGCTGCTCACCAGCACCCTCCCCTGACCAGCTGGCTGACAGACTGAGCACAGAAATAACGCAGCTACATTTTCTCAGCGTGTCTGAGCGGCAGTGGTGAATAAATGTTTAGCCCTGTTAGGAAAGTGACACATTTTATAAAAAGAAATAAACGAGGTGCTGGTTGAGAGACAGCAGGCTCAGACTATCCGATTTAAGACCAGAGTCCCTGGTTCAAAGACACGAGACCCTGGGGTTTCAGAAAGGACCCAGTTTTGTCTGGGCCTCTGGCAGGCGCTTCCGGCGTTTGCCCCGTTTTCCCCCCTCATTGGCTCCAGCTGCCCAGGGGGCTCTCCGAGACCGGCTGGAGCCTGCCTCTCCCCACGGTCCTCTGCCTGCCCCCCAGCGCGCTCTGTTTTCGCCTCCCGACTCCTGCATCTGTGTGGACGGCATGAAGCCTCCTGACTTGACACGCCAAACACACGCCCGGGACAGGGAGACAGAGCAACCCCTGACCCCATCACGCTCAGCTGGAGTTTCCTGAGCAACGTGCCCACGAGGTGGCCCCGGAGGTTACCCAGGTTGTGCTACACACAGAAAGGGCCCCGGAGGCTGCGGAGCAGAGCTTGCCGACAGTTTGGAGGAAAAGGCTCTTTTTCTCCAAACTGGCTCAGCCAGGATTCACCCGGCGACCGTGGGTTGCCGCTTTGCAACCCCACAGCCTGACTCGGACGCCAGGTCCTGATCCACCCGAAGGAAGGCGCCCAAGTGCTAGCTGCTGCCCTGGGCATGAAGAGAAGAGTAGAAAAGAAAAGAAAAGGGCCCAGAGGCATTTCTACCAAAACTGTGGCCGCCAGTCGGTGGGAGACACCACGTGGAAAACTGCCGCCCCCGGCCCCGGGCGGACTCCGGCCCGGCGCTCCCGGTGCTGTCCCGACTGAACAGAGACCGCGGGCTGTGCCGACACGCGTGTGGAACCGCACTGGTCGACGGTGTTTTTCCCTGTGCCTGTTACTAGCTGCCCCTACCCTGCCCCCTCCCTCTTCACAGAAGGGTAAGACTCAGAAGGAGAGATTATGATACTGCTGACTTCAAAGGTTTTCCTCGTGGAAAATGCCTGTAATTTTATTTTCTCTATTTTTCTGAGACACTCTCTCTCAAAAGCTCTTGATTGTAAATTATATGGTATGGTAGAATACAAATGGGAAAAAGGGCCCGGGAGTGAGAAGCCAGATCTCAACAACTGTGTTATTTCTAAACCTAACTATGGGAGGGGGGAACCATAACAGCCAAAAAAATACCAGATTAATGACATTTAATTATAATGTAGCTTTCAAGACTTCCAGAGAGGGGTGCTTTTGGGGACGGGGCCGTGACAGGTGCCAAGGGGACGACGGAAGGGTGGCAGGAACTGCAGCCAACTTTTCTCAGCTACATTTTTCTCTAAAGTTATTAGGAGACAGATTTTTAGTGAAAAGTGGTAACTGAACCAGAAACTATTTTCTTTAAAAAAAAAAAAAAACTATCCTGTATGTGAGATTAATTTTTTTTTTACCTGTATTTACTTTTTTCATTTTGAGGGGGAAGGGAGACTGAAAAACCACGATGGTTTTCCCATGAACAAAAACTGCCTATTTGGTAAAAACAACTTGTTGTTTTTAAACCGGACGTCCCCAAACATCCACTCCCTTGTCCTCTGGTAAAAGGGATGTCAGGTGGACCACCAGGCCATCCAGGCTCAGGGTGGCGGGAGCGGGCGAAGTAGGCGCGCTCTCTCTCTCTGTGAACGGGTGGAGAGCGAGTATTTTAGAACACAGGCATGCGCACGGTCTCCGTCACAAGCACCCAACTCTGCCTGGAAGGAGCCACGGAAAATATGTAAATGAACGGGTAAGGCTACTTTCCAGCACATTTCATTTCCCAAAACAGGTGATGGGGCAGCCGGCTGACCCCTGATCTCGTTACGGGCCACGCTGTCCAGCCTCCGTCTCAGATGGGGCCCGAGCCGTGCAGCTGCAGCATTGGCTCTGGGCACTGGGATGAGGCGAAGTGCCCAGTGCGACATCCGGTCCGAGTCCTTAAAGGGACAGGGTGTGCCCTCCTCTCACCGTTCCCCGTCCTTGCTGGCTGGAGGGCAGATGTGGCGGTGGGGGGCGAGGGCCCCTCTGGACCGTTGGTACAAGCCAAGGGCTGAGAAAGGCAGCAAGACAGGTCGAGCCGGGCTCTGCTCCCCGCGTTTCCCAAGCCACGCTTCTCTCGCGTCTTGTTCGGAGACGAGACTGACTGCAACACGCGGGGTGTTTTAGCAAACAGCAGAACACGTGGGTTCAGATACACCCCTCTCCCGGTAACGATGCCTCCCCCATTCCTACTGCTGGTATAAGGTGAGTGCCATGGACCAAAACCAGAGAGCTAGACGTTTAAGTAAGTGGGAAATTACCACCCATACTCTTGGGATTAACAAGTCATTTAAATATTTTGGAACTACTGTTTTCCACATCATGAAATACAGCAACGAGAGCTATTCGGATACAAATCAGTAAAACCATCAAGTCTCTAGATGTCATTGCTGCTGGTTCTGTGACGTGCTGGGAATGTGACTTCCCTTCCAGGAAAACCAGTCACCACTGAATGTCCCGCACCAACCGCACGGGAGACCATGGGAGACCATGTGAACCTGCCCAGTTAAAACGAAACCTTCCCCGTCCCAAGTCAGGTTTTCTGGCACCACGGTCTGTACTTTGCCTGCTCACTTGACCTCAGCACTCCCTTTAAAGGCAAAGTTCTCTTTTCATTATTCCCACCCCCCTTGACTATCTAAATCGAAACGTTCATCCAAAGTGTTCTGGAGACCAAGACCGACCTGGCTGAAGAAAGTGACAGGAGTGGAAATAGCTCAGCGCTGAGCCTAACCCACAAGTTTTGCTTCCATGGAGTTTAAGACAGAAACCCTGGGTTACTTGTGAGAGGACAAGTGCGAGGCCACAGTGCTGAGAGCGACCAAAACGCCGGGGGCACTGCCTCTGAGTGCCGGCAAGGAGACACCTGCACACCAGGGCGGGGTTCGGTTACACGCCACAGAGCTCTACCTCAGGGGCGGAAGGCACTCAGGGAGGCTCCTCGATGTGTCAAAGTGAGTGATGAAATCAGCATTTGAACCCAGAACTCTCCCACACCAACACTAGCCCTCCCCGCGCTGACAGAACGTGAAGTCACTGAGACCACCTGTAAACGGTCACAGTAAAAGCTGCTTCCTCCCAGCTTCCCAGCTCCATCCTGTCACTTAACAATTCTACTCCTGACTGCAGGCTTTGCCTCCAAACGTCACCGCTTCTGCGCTGCCCCGCTGCCTCCCTCCCACAGCCCGCTCCCAAGCCCTCCTCCTGCCACCCCGGCCAGCTGCCACCTCTCTTCCCAAACCCTCCTTATTATCCCCCCTCCAGCTAAAAACGACGAATTTGCCATGCTTTCTCCTCTCCCCAGCACTGTGGATTGGGGAAGTTTTCTTTTTTGATTGTGTATAAGGTTCCCTTCTAAAAGCTAGAAGTCCTTTTCCTCGGAGAAAAAGTTCCTTACATTTTCGCTTTCAAGAAGGGGACTTTCTTTTAAAAATCTACAATATACCGTGGGTAAATTTTACACCAAATAAAGGCAGTAGGGGTGTGTGTGTTCCATAAGCCACCTGTAATGTGAGGCTCCCCCAACCTGGAGGAATAAAGACCATCGGCCTCCTCCCCGCCCACTACGGGGGCGGGGCCACGGGGGGCGGGGCCATCGGAAGGCCAATGGCCTGGGGGTTCTGTCTGTTACCCCTGGCGCCCTCTGCAGGCAGCACAGCCGCAGACGAGAAGGAAGGGATGGGGGTCGGGGCCTTACCTCCCAGTGGCTGAACACCAGCTGCGGGCTGGCCAGGCCGCTCGTCCTCTTCCTGATCTCGTCCGCGAAGCCGAAGCTCTCGGCCACGGGCAGCACGGCCTTGATGATGAACACGTCTGTGCCCTCCTTCATCTCCTCCTGCAGCACGCGGCCTTCTCTCTTCGACAGCACAGCGTAGACCCGACCTGCAACCCAGAGACCTCTGAGTCCGCTGAGCCACACAAGGTCGCCCGCGTTCCCCTCAACCACTTGCTGGCGTGCGGCAACTCGGCTCCCGACAACTGTGGTTTCCGAGGGCGCGGAGATATTCTGAGTGTGCACTTAATAAGTAACGCATGACAACTACAGGGAAACCAGAAACACAAGACAGCAGAAAGCGAAGTCGCCCCGAAATACGTTATCCAAAGATGATCCCCCCAACACAGCATGAGAAACAGGGCCTTCAAAGGCCCTTCTGACGCTCTTTCCCCCACGAGCGTCTCTGGGTGTGAAATCCAATGAGGTACAGGTGACTGGGCTTTGTAAATAGTAAGACACCTTAAAATTATAAGAAGCTAGTAAAGCCAACGCCACAACGGCATTTTTACACTAAAAATTAAAACCACACATATATAAGTGCTTGATAGTAAAAAATAAACAAACCCGGCAATATTTAAGTGGCACAAGGATAAGAGTTTTATTCCCTGAGCGCTGATGGTCTTCGGAATGATGAGGAATCACCGCCTGGTAAGATTCCAGCCGCCACGCCGCCAGACCCCCAGGAAGCTCTCCTGGCTGACACTGCTTTGCCTCCAAACACTAAGCGCCTTCCACTCGGGAGGGGGCATCTGGAGTGGGTGGCTGCCTCTGGGAGCTCAGAAAGAGGCTCCTTCCGACCAGTGAGTCTGGTGGAGATAAACTGAAAACCACAGACAATAGTGAGCAACTCCTGGTGGCCAGCAGAAACTCTCCTTAAAGGTCCTTTCCATAGAAAGCTTAGAAACATTCACCTTCATCACGTAAGACCCACCAACGTGGTTTCCTTAACAAATGTTCACGTGAGCCGCTCAGCAGAGTGGAGAGTGATCTCTGACTCCCACGGGGGAGACCTGGGCTGGCTCCTCCCCCCTCAGCGATGTGACGATGTCATCTGCCGCCCACCTTCACTCATATACTTTTAGAGTGGGCGCTGCGGACTTCCAAACCTCGGTCCCCAACTCGGGTTCCGCCTGGGTGGCCGTGGTTAGGACACGGGGCAACGAAGGGCAGGAAACCCTGCTGTTGTAAGGACTTAAGAATTAAAAGCCACTGATCAGCAGCACCTCTTCCAACAGTCCTCCAACCTCAGTAACCTTCCCTGGGTGTCTGACCAACAGGGTACCTTTACTTCAGGGATGCTTTACGGCCTGACTTCTCCCTGAGAGCATTCCTTGAGCCCTGTGCTGTACTCCAAGCAAACTCTCCCCTCAGAGGGCCAGTTCCGGTCTCATTTGTGTGGTTTAAGGGGCAGATATCATGCAGGGACTCCGGAGGCCATTTCTGAGCGAGGCGCTTCCTCCGCCCTCCTACCCACCATTCACGATGACTGCGGGGCCATTCCACCCCGGAGCCCCACAGCCTCGTCCACCCAGCAGGTCTCGGAGAGAACACATTCTCTAGGCATAGGGTGAGTCCACTTCCCCTTTCTAAACAGTCATTCCCCCGCCATTCACAGACATCTCAGTGACAGCATCACGGAGCAGTGGGTTAGGAGGGGACGTCCCGGCCAACAATTCTACCACGGTGGTCGTCTGAAGTCTGCTTGTGGGTTTCTGCAACTGGCTTCCTCCCAGGCCAGCCCATTCCATTTCTAGATGGCAGCCCCGACTGGGACGCAATTCTTAAGCCCCAAATCTGTTCCTCTGAAGTTTCTAACCACTAGCGCTCAGATCAGCGCTGAAGCTGCCAGACGACAGCTCTCCAGCCTTCTCTCCTCCGGGCTCCACACCCCCGTCTTCCTGTGACACGGCCCTGCCTTCCAGCTCCACCCTGACCTCTTTCCTACTCAAACTGCTATGATGTATGTACCTCCAGCTTGAAATGTGGTCCCCAGAAGTGAAATCCGTACTTTAGGTAGTCTGAAAATCCCTGAGACAAGCAGAACCACTATTATCTTTATCGGTCATCTTTTTTGCCTACTGTAACAGCCAATATGTGCAAATGAGTAAATTTTATTTACTCTGCTACCAAAGGAAAGTTTTAAAGTGCTTCACAGAAGTAAATACCAAACATCAGTGTGTGTGGCGAGGGGTGGGGGGAGCAAGAGTGATGACCTCGGGGCAATGGGCCGTGAGAGGTGGGCCGGAGGCCTCCAGCTCTTCCCCTGCCTTCACGGGTCAGGCCAGCAGGCTTGGATGGATAATTGACATTGAAACGAAATGTAATTAGTCATGTAATTTCGAGCTATTCAGTTTTAATTGCACTAAAACTAAATGCTAAAAGTGGGGCATAGCGACGGGTCACTGAACAAAGGAAAACAGCCACAAACACGCCTGGTTCTCGTGAGGGAGCCCCTGGCCTGGGCGCACTGAGGGACCCGCTAACCCGCCACACTGTCACTGAGAACTTAATGTAGCCGTATCAACGAGGACTCGGACCATGCGGCCCCTTCGCCTGGGCATCTGTCTACCCCATCACACCTCAGGCCTCTGTCTAGTCACGCACTCAGAGAGGGGTCACTATCTGCCCCGAAGCCACAGGTAAGAGACATCCACCAAGGAGTTAACCCACTGAAGCAGTCTGGACGCAGCCTGCTCCCTGGAAAGGCCTCAGCCTGCACCGAAGGCGCACTGGGCCCTGGCGGTTAAGGCACGACCTCGGCTCCCGGGGCTGCCAGACCCAACGGCACCCAGAGCAGTAACTGTCCCACAGGTAAAACCCAGGTTGGCTGCTCGCCGCCCACAGGCCACACGAGGCTTCTCCACTCTGGGCTCGAGGGCTCTTCAACCGGGAACACACTCAGCCCCAGGCTCCAGCCAAATCCTCTGCATCATTTTAAGCCGGTTCAAAGATGACCTGCTCCACAAAGTCCCCTGTGATGCCCCAAGACCAGAACCACCTCTGCGTCACCTGGGCCTCGCCGGCCCCGACATGTTCTCTTATGACATTACAGACTCTGCACATACCGTCTCCGTCCTCTACAGGCAGGTCCTACAGTTTCCAGAATGAAAAGTCTGAAGTTAGGAGTTTCCCCCCCAGAATTTGGGAAAGTAAACAGCTGCTCGCGGCCACGTTTTCTCTAGCAGTAAACAAACAGGAAACAATGGGAGTTTGCGATCTGGGGGATGACAGGAAGCAAATTACAGCGGATCAAACTGATGGGTAAGGATGCAGAGATCAAAGTAAACATTAGGAACACTAAGCAGCCAAACAGAAGCATGCTTAGGAAGTAAATAATAAATGTAAAAAGCAAAACACTGAACTGCTTCTACCGTAAGGTTATAGCTACACAAAAGGTACTCACGCAGACAAAAACTGTGAAAGAAAACGGAAAACGATAGGTGAGCTTCGGAGAGGGAAGCTTTTTCGTTCACCTCGTGGTTTCTGTTGCTGTTGGCAACACAAGGAAACCAGTGGCACTTCTTACTCCTATAAACCCAGCCACACTGCCCCCTCTCCTGGGGACACAGTGTGAGGGGACTGCTAGACGGAGCAGGCGCCGGCAGCAGGACGCAGACGGGAGACAAGGTGCGCTGCAGGCTCGACGGGCAGCGCGGGCTGGCTGTGACGGCGCTCACCAACCCAGTCACGTCTGCAGGGTGTCGGCAGGTCCCCCAACCTGGGACGACGTCCTGGGGGAAGAGACAGTGTCCTGCTCACGGCCGTGCGTCCTTACTTTGGAATCGGCAACTCGGAGATTCAGGAGAAGGGGCAGCAGAGTCGAAGCGGACACGGAGCAGGCAGGGCGGGAAATGCTCCGGCAGGATCAGGGTGCCAGGGGAGGACGCAGATTCAACCAGGCGCAAGCTCGCCCGCGTGAGGACGCGGACTTCCGGTTGGTTCAACCAGCCGAGTGTCCCCGCTGAGAGAGGAGATGCTGGGAGGCAGTTCTCAGAACACCAGTGAGGACCGACGTGGCTCTAAGCTCAACAGCAGTCTTCACTGGTGCGGCCTAAAGACGGCCGACCGAACACCGCGCTGCCGACCTCAAAATGATCTGTCCATCTAAGCTTATTTCAAGGCACCATCACTTTCAACATCTACTCTGTTTTGAATGTAGCTCATTTCAATTTCCCATAAAAGTTCTCTGGAAAGCCATTATTTATTCAGTAAATTGAAGACTGTTTTACTTTCTAGTTGTTTCACATCATTAAACTTTGCCGCCTTAACTCATGTCTCGAAGCAGGAATCACGCTTCACACCGTGTTCACATGCATAGCTCAATATATTTTTTGCTGAAATGAATTATGAAATACTGGTAAAATGTAAAAAGAACCCCAACTGCAGAGTAAGAGTAGATTTTAAAAAGCAAACAGCGACACTTACTAAGAATGGTTGTAATACATTAGGGCACACATACATGGTCTGACCATGTAAGGATTTATCCCCGTAAACAGATAGAAGAACTACAATAATCGTAACTGTCATTACAATTTCTAACACTGCCTAACAAAAAAACTTTCTTTTTATAGCATGAAGTTACTGGCAGGGACAATGAAAAGCAAGAATGGAAGAACTTAACGGGTTAGAGGAAACATGAAAAGAGAGGATTCACTCCTAGTCACATGACAAACACAAACCAAGTGTGATGCCCAGTCAAGTGCACTGAAGACGATTTTCATGGGTAAAAACAGTAATTAAACCTACTCTTTAGGGAAGTAGATCTTACAGGTGAAAAAAATCATCTTTTCCATTTTTTTGAAATTTTGAGATCCCAAGAATAAAATTATTATTCCCAAGAATAATAAAGTTATTATTTTCATCCCCACATGAAATTATTTTGAGATAATTATTTTTCTACAACATTTCCCATTTTGACCATAAGCAATTCTATGCATTTATCAAAGGATTTCTTGTTTTCCTCATCTGCGTAGAATATGCTAAGTTCTAAAGAGACTAAGGAAACTCATTTTGCTATATTAAAAAAAGACCTAAACTTTTCTTTATTTGTCTTGTGCCAATTGTTGGAGAATCAGAGCAACTGTCAGCAAAGTCCAAGGTCTTCTTGGAAGACCTCCGAAAACCCAGGTAGGAAGCACGAGGCCTCAGACCCACAGGGGCCCCTCACTCCTTTTTCCAGCTGAAGGAGGGGATTTAGGAAGAAAAAGGGGAACACACGGAGAGAAGCCCTAACTGTTCCCATAGCTCCTGGACCCCAGAGGTTGGTTATCACTACGAGAATTCTTCAAAAGCAATGATTCTGCAGTTCAGCAACAGAGCTTCAAACCAACTCAAAAAAACAAAACAAAACAAAAGGCAGATCCAATCTGAACATAGCTTCTCTGCGAGGCAGTGAGGGTCGAGGTCAGCTGGTCTCGGAGAAGCACAGGAACACGGCTGACCAGAGACGGCGACCCAGAGGCTGTTTACTGACCAATCCAGACCCACACGTTGCCACTGCAAGGGGTCAGAGGGGCCTTGCACAATGGGTTTGTCCCAGGGCAGGGCAGGGCAGGGCAAAGACGTAGCTTGTTCCCGGGAAGAGAGGGCAAGGAGCCCTGAGGGCTAAGGTATGCATCTTCTCCTGGACAGTGCCAGAACGGAGTGTGACAGCCAGGGGAAGAATGTCAGGATGAAGATGAAAGGACAGGATGACAAGTGATATTTCCAGGGTCCCCTATTGAGGGCTGCCTGGTCGCACACAGCGTTCTGGTGATGACTTCTTAATAGAAATGAGAAAACGGACTCCAGGGGCTGACTCAACAGCAACTCAACAGTCTGCTGGCAATTTTAGCCTGGTAAATGCTAGCAGCTGATCTTGGTTTCATGTGTTGACTCGAAAATTGTATTTTCAAAAGCAAATGGCTCGTCCCTCTGAATGGATAACACAGGAGAGATTGCAATTTGGAGAAAAAATATGAGTTCCCATTATCCTGGGAGCTCGAGGGATGAAAGGCCTATGGACCTATGGGGACCCTCCGGGAAGCATCATGCCAAATGCATAAAGAGAAACAAACAAAGCCGTTTTCAGGATAACGAACTCGAATAAAATTCCCTTTGCAGAAACAAGAGTCTACAATGTCAACGCTGAATGACCCTAAAGAGAGAAAAAGGGGGGAGAGATGCTCTCACCTACAACGTGGCAGTCACTCCGAAACAGACCTGCTGGGTCAAGGAAAGTGCCCTGTAGCATCTCCTAACTCATTTTAAGAGGAAACGCACCGTAGATGAGGGAGGGAGATGCCAGCTAAGGGCGGACCACCAGCATGTCTGGGATGATGAAACCAGAATGGCTGGGCCCACCCGGTAACGGTGCTGACCACAGCAAAAAGGGCTTTTTTCATTATCATCCAAACAAAAAGAGACCTACCTACAGCCTGGGGGCGCCGGGGTGACGTGAACAGAGAAGAGCAAGAAAGCAGGGCTGGTTCCCAGGGCCTGTTACCCGTCCCCTCCTCCAGTGCGCAGGGCAAGGACACACGCACAGAGGGGAGATCGGTGGAGGGCTTGAGAGCAAGCGCCTGCCTTCTCACACGACTCTGAGCCCCGGGACCAGAACTACAGCTCGGTCTTAAAGACATTTGACCTTTTGAGAAATTGTGGGCAGCAGAGTGGCTGCCAAACTATAAGCAAAAGGTAAATAAACCCTGAAGGATAAAAACACTGGATTCCATCAGTTGCAGACAAGAATGCCACAAGCTAATTTCCTGCAGAATTTTAAAAAAAACCATAAAAATGTGTGTATATTTAAACGAATGTGAGGAAAACCTTTGGAGATGACATGAACTTTGCAACATAAAATCCTATCAACCTATGCTTATTTCTTCTAATCTGGCTGGTAGGTTTATAAACAAGAAAAGATATATATATATACATATACACACATATGTGCATATATATATATATATATACACACATATATCCTTTTTATCAAAACATTTGATTCATTTGAAACGTTTTCACAAGGACACATGAAGAAAGGAATCAATGTGCTAATATTACAGTTTGGGGACTTTTTTTCTTGGTATAAGAAAAACACCCTTTTTTTTCCCTTTAAAACTTTATAAAAAACTTCCTTCACTATCATTGTAATGTTTACTATATAAAATATATAAGCTAAGAAAGAACTCATTGTATAGCTCCAGTTTACTCATGTACTCTGGTGGGCTACATCATTTTAACCACCAAAATCCGGATTCGGGTTTTTGGAGAACAAAATGGGAACAAGTAACTTATTAAAAAAACAAAAAAGGAGCCTTGGCAGGGTGGGCAGCTGGGTTGGTTAGAGCGCTGTCCCAATCTGCCAAGGCTCTGGGTTGCCTCCCTGGTCTGGGCACAGACAGGAGTCAACCACTGGGAGGGAAGGAGGTCCGTCCTGTCCTCTCTGGAGTTAATGACAAGACACATCTGCTGAGCGGCATGGAAACTGCACCACACGCAGGCGGTGACCGTGTGCCCGTGCTCTGCATGGACCAGATGACACTGGACGTGCCGTGTCCGAACACGGCTGCTTTACTCAAGGGGGTGGCTGACCAAGTAAAGTGGGTCCGAAGGACGGCAACCGTGAAAGGCAACAAAACCCTTGTTACGGAAGTAGGGGAGGGTTTATAAAGCCGGGCCACCAGTGCTCCCCTCAGGCACATGAGGTGTGAATGCAAGTGAGAGCAACAAAGGGCAGTTCACTTGGCTGGAAACCAGGAGATGCGACTTTCCACTCGTACAGAGAAGAGCACGTCTAACCCGGAACCGGCCAGGAGCTGCCCACCAGCTGGGGTGCTCAAGTACAAGTGCGTGAGCGCCCCTCAGGGCAGGAGACCGGAGATCCGCTCTGACGTCTGCAGGGACTTGAGGGGTCCAGTTCCCTGATTCTAACGCCACCCCTGCCTTCTTACATGAGAAAGTTCTCCACGAAGACGAACAGCAACACCTGGGAATGAGCTAGGCTGGTGTTCCACAATCAAACCGTGAATCCCACGGATGTCAACAGGTCCAACTACATGCCAATGAGGCTGAGCAGCCCGCGGGCCAGGGGCCCTCCTTGTGGACTGGACCCCCGGCACACACCCCTGTATAACCCGCCACCCTTGGAACGAGGCTGCGGACGCCCAGTTCACCCCACAGGAGCCTCCTGTGAGGTAAGCCCACATTTCTTTAGGAAAAAGAAATTTATCGGTTTAGACTTCTGCTTCTGAGAATACATCAGGATTCTCTTACTAAAGGGAATAATGGCACACTGACTCAAAGGGCCCAGGCGCCAGAGGGGTCCGGCAAGTGGGCGCTCTCTCACCCGGTGCTCGCTTCCCCTCTCCACCCCCCTCGCCGCCACGGAACAGCCCTGCAGTCCCAAGTGGGTGGGACAACCGCTGGGTGCTGGGCTGCAAGCCCTGTATTTGTGGTCACAACCTCCCTTGACTTATTCTCTTCTGAACGGGTGAAGGAAAGCAGTCTGGGAAAAATACTACCTGTCAAAGAGTCAAAACAGCCGCTGGGTGCCAGGGCTCCCGGCCTCCCGAGGTCCTGATGGATCCTCCCCGAAAGGGACAGAAATCGGGAGACTCTGATATAATGGTCAGCGCTGAGTAAAGCCTCACATGCCGTCCTTCATCAGAAGGAGCCCAGAATCCACAGAAGCCCCTTTGTGCTGGGACGACAGGAACGGTGCTGCCCTCTTTGATCATTTCTGGAGCGACTCTGGTTACCCAGACTGATACGGTTATTTACCTGAGGATAAAATGCTGCACAGGTTTAGATGGTAACCTATACGGGCGGTTTACACCTCCTTTACCAGACCTTCCACCGCAGAGGAGAGTCTATTCATTGCAAAAGATCTTTAGTAATCAAGCCTCCCCCCAAGCATAAGATGTCCATGTTTAAGGCTCGTGGCTCTCAAAGATCCCGTGCCTTAGTAAATCATATGACAATGAACCTTCTGTAGAGAATAACAGCAAGCGAGACTAAGCTCTGACCTGAGAGCGCCCCTGCCGTGCGGGGCTGTCTCGCGCCTTCGTCCCCCGTCCTTACCAAGCACGTCGCTGGTCGCCATGATGTCACACGTGTACATAGCTGCCACCAGGCGCTGGGGTTTCGCCTGCAGGGCGTAGCGACACGCTTCCTTCATGGTGGCGATCAGCTGTCCCGACAGGGGTCCGTAGCAGTCGGAAAGGGGAGGCTCTCCTTTCCGGGAAGTCCGCTTCTCCACGGGCCCCGGGTGGCCGTCTTGGAGCGCGAGGCTCCCCTCTCCCCCAGAACGGGCTGCGCTTTCCTCCTGCCCCTCTTCCACCAGATCCCGGTCCTGCTTGTCACTTGCTCCTTGTTCTTCAAATTTACTTAGTTCCCACCTTTCCAGAACGAAACAGACGCCCATGAGGGGCTCCTCGCACATGGGGCCGGAGAGCGTGGCCAGCTGGAAGCCGCTCACGATGCTGTTGCCCACGTCACGGTACCCGCTGGCTTCTTTGGAAGCTGTGCCGGCTGGGCCAGGCCACACAGAGCTCTGAAAATCGGCGCTCTTATTTACTAGTATGTTGGGCCCGCATTTTCTTGGGCCGAACGACCAGATTTGGTCAACGGTGTTCCTCCATTTTCTCCCGGTTAGGTGTTGCTCCAGTTTCCCTTTGAATTCCCAGATCTTCTCGCGGGTCTTCTGGTGAATCGCCTGAGCATTCTCGCCCTCAGCCAAAGACGACGTCAGCTGCTCCATAGAGCGGATCAGATCGCTGTTCTCTTCCAGCAGCCGAGTGGCTTCCTCGGGAAGGGGCATGGCCCGAACACTGAGCGTGGCTAACTTGTTGGGCGTTGTCATGGTGATCAGCCCATCGGAGTCCACCTGGATCCCCTCAGGGATTTTGTTTTGATCCTCTTTGGTCTGGTGTATGACTGCAACTTTCTGTTGTCTGCCAATTTCTTCATTGACCATGTCCACTTTGGGGGGTTTTGTGATGGTTTCTCTGAATGGGATAATGGGTTCAGACACACTGATTTCAATCTTTGCAAACCTACAGGCAAATTAAAGAGAAACATAACAGAAGGTCATTACGAAAATAGTGTAGTAACTCCCACACAGAAATAGTATACAATGGGGATGATGCAAAAAACACAGAAACATAAAAATTATTCTACAATGAGAGATAAATCGCTGGCATTTGAGATCAAAAAGACGGATGGGAACACACCTTCAGGGAGCTCTTGGCATGTAGCAGAATTTCACCGCTTTGTTCATCCTCAAACTAAATAAACCGTCTATTTGGATAAGAATGTTCTGAATGCAAAATAAGTATTTTAATAAGATTTGACACATGAAGTCTGTAAAATACTATTTACCAATTCAAAGGTCTGGAGACAAAAGGCGCAATAATTCTATCACTAAACAGACCAAGAATCACAGAAGCCCGGGACACCCTGCCACATCCCCGACTCCGCACTGGCTTTGACGAGGCAGCTCACGGCCTGGCGGGCCCCGTCCAGGAGTCTGTCTAGACACGTTTCTGCTGTCCCTGTATCGGCGTGTGCACTGTGGTTGTGGAGCACTTGAAATGAGGCTAGTACGGCTGGGGACATGCGTTTTTATTTTTGTTCAGTTTTAGTTAAGTTTAAACAGCCACACGAAGCTACACGGCATTTGAAACGTGGCTGAGTGTGACTGAGGAACTGAGTTTCTGATTGTGTTTCGACAGCCGCATGTGTCTAGTGGCTACTGCCCTGAACAGCACAGGGTGGCACCAAGTTCAGAGAGCCTCCTTTCACACGCCGTCGACTTCAGCCTCAGGCTGATTTTCCCCAAAACGAGCTCACAGAGGGTGGACCCTGAGCGCTGGTGCGGAGTGACTGCGGCCACGATGAGACCACTCGGTCTCTTCCTCTGGCGTCTGTCCGTGCCGTTCCCAGGACACACCAGTGCTGCAGTCTGGTCTGCGTGTGCCCTTGGTAACACGGACAAACGCATGTATAAATGCTGTACGTGTACCTGTGTGTGCACATATGTACTCTGTGAAATTCTGGGATCTTGAAACGACTTTTCCTTGGGAAGTATTATTCAATAAAGAAAATAATACTAAAACTTTTTGAAATGCTTTCATTTGACTCTAGATTTATGCCTGCTTTCTATATTTTTGGGGTATAGGACAGGTGTATGCTTTATCAGATTTTATATTGAAAACGTAATCAATAATTTTCTAAAAATAATGTTATAAAAATTTATTTTAGAATTCAGAACCTGAACAGACTATAACGTGTTAAAGTAATAAAAAATGTTGCGGAAAAAAAAAATCTCCAAGAAAGGTTCTGGTTCCACCGGTGAGTTTGTTCGCTTTCAGGGACAAGCCTGTTTCACATGCCACAGACAGTATACTGTACAATATGAAGCTTCATCTCATGTATTAGTTTAAAGTTACTTTGATCTCTGATGCTCAAACCTTTTTGAGAAAGACAGCATGCACAGACAAAACTTTAAGTTTAAACTTACCTAAGAATTCAGATATAAAATCCAAGATGAAATAACAATGAAAAAATGGATACATGTGTTTTATTTATTTATTTACCAGTCACTCATTATGTGTGAGACACTGCTAACTACTTCACATGTATTATTTCTCCAGCTATTGTAGTACCTTCATGTTGCAAAGGAGAAAACTGGGTAAGACTGAGTAACTTCTCCACAGTCAAACACCTAACAAGGAGGGAAGCTGGGGTTCAAATCTAGGTGTGGGCTCAGAATTCAGGTTCCTACCTGTTAAAATAGACTGAAAAATGAAACTGAACGGCATAATAGAAAAATACATCACAGGTTATAAAAACTGATTCGTTTTCATACGATCTGTTAAAGTAGCAGATCGCATTAGAAATGTCAAATAATGTATGTAAGCATGTTTAGAAATGCCAAACTGGCATTCAATAAACTTTAACATCTATCTTGATAAAAATAAAGCACTTAGAAATCTTAGGAATAAAAAAACATTTTTAAAATTATAATTACTGAGAAGACACATGTCCGTGTACGTGGGACCGAGAGAGCCCACTACACAGCTACTGAAACTGGAAGGTGCATCCGTGTGTGACGACCCTCTTTTCCTTACGCCATAGATAAGGTCTGAAAGGCTGTGAGTCGCCAGCCCCTCGAGTTTCGGGGACGCCCCAGGAGTCTGCTGGAGTGATCACTGACGGAGTGAACCAAAGCTACGCTGTGGATGGAGGGGCAGTGCGTGCACGGCTGTCCCACCGGCGAGCGCCCCAGAGCCAGGGCTCTGCAAACCCCGGCGGTGCGGAGCTCGTCACTGCCTCCAAGGACACGCAGTCGACTGTGACTGTGACAGCGACTCCTGTGTTGTCCGGCCACTGTGCTCCCCCGTCCTGGGTCCCACACTTGGTCCAGGTGACTCCTCTGACAACAGCCCAGGTGAGGGGACTAGGGAGACCCCTCCCTGCCTGGGCTCCAGGCCACTCTCTGAGCTCTAACGAGAACACTGAGCTTGACCTTGAACTTATGCCTCCTTCAGACAGACCCAGTGTTAAGGAAGTGGCTTTTTTAGGGGAAGTGTCATCACTTTCAGACACTGGAATTTTTAGGAAATGCAGTTAAGCACTCCAGAATTTGTAAAAGTATCTTACTACAGCAGCATATATTTTTTTGAAAAATTATTTTCATTGTCATCATTCAGTCTAAATTATTTTTAGATGTTTAGATATAGTTTCTAAAAAAATTTACATAGAGTGGTTTCCACAATGAATTATTTTGTAAAACATTATAACGTGATGTTAAGGGCATATTTCTAGACAACTAATTTATCTTATTATAAAGTACAGTTTTTCTTTTTCTTGAGATTAAAAAGTACCTGTGATGAAAACCATGAGATAAAAATAAAAAATCTAAACAGAGAAACAAATAATTCAACTGAAATTCATTTTAGGCTTACAAGGTATTACTTGAAATATAATTCTAAGTACCCCCAAAAAGTTATTTTTTAAAGAAGAGTGTTAACAGCCTAAGAAATTCAGGGTTAACAATGGATTATAATTTGATAGCAAAGAGTGTGAAGAGAAAATAATTTAGTTCTAAGACCCTGCCCCCCAAATAATAAAACCATTTCGCTATTTTTTTGGAACAACCTCTGAGAATAAGCTATTATTTTAAAATACACTATACATTATGATTTATCCAATTGGCATCATTACCTAACCAACCTGAGGACCGGCAGAAACGCCAAGAAAACGGACACGACCGCGGACCAGATGCAGCGTCTCCCGTCCGGCTCTGTGCCGACCGAGACCCCACCCAGGTCTGAGGGCAGCGCGGCCGCGGCGCCCTTCTCACTGACCCAGAAACGGGGACACGTCCCGCCTGCAGGACCTTCCCACACCCCTGCCCCCGCCGCCCCCTCCTCTCCCACATTATCCTAACTGCTCCAACTCTGTGCCTTTGGGATAAAGACAGGACGTTACACAGAGTCATCTGGGAGGCCTGTTTTAGGACACTCACAGACCCTTATGACAGAGGGACACCCAGGCTCCCCACGGTGTGCCCCGCAGAGACCCCATGGACAGGGAAGGAAGGCGGTCCCTACCGCAGCCCAGCTCACAGGGGAGGGGACCCAGCTACCTTGTTTTGCTGTCCTGCCATGCTGTGTGCGTGGACTTTGAGTAAAACATACATGCGTATAAATATTTTGACTCAAGCTGAAATGCAGAAGTCTCCAAGTGTAGAAGTGATTGTACTTGTTGGTTATTAAAAATTAAATCTAATCGCCAGTGACAGTTCATGTTTTGGGGACATTTCATGTCCTCCCCCCAAAACAAAGCCTGGCGCAGGTGCAGACGGTTTAGGGAGCAGCTCTCGGTGCCCGCCGGCTGACTCCGGAGCCGCCGCCGCAGCAAACGCACCTCTCCGTTAAGTCGTCCAGGCACCGCTGCAGGTGCACCTCCCCCGCCGTCACCAGCACGTGCTCACCCGTCTCCTGGATCAAAACCTGCACACAGGGGTCGGCCTGGTTCAGCAGCTTCATGCCTTTGACCAGCTGAGGCATCTCACCTGAGTTAACAAAACGGAAGGCTAAGATTAAACACCATACGGGCGCTGAAACAACCTACAGGCAATTCCCCAAGGAAGGGAACAGAACAGGAAAACAGACTCTTCAAACGGTGGTTTAGTTTCCTTCCAAACAGTGCTGTGATGAGAAGAAAAGCCCCTCCCGGCAACTGTATTCGTACCGAGAGCTAACGGGACACACACACACTCTCGCTGATAAAATCGACGAAGAGGCGAAACTCGCGTTTCCTACGGTGATCCACTCGGAAAACGGCACCGGAGCCCCTATTTAAAACAATCCCGTGTGAAACCGCTGACACAAGTGTGGGATTCGCAGGGTGGCCGCAGCGCGCTCCCCGGCACCCTCACACAGCGAGCCCGCTGCCCCTGCTCCGCCTGTGCCCTCGCTGCACCACTGCGTTTGCCTGCGGCCCCTGGGAATGCGGGTGTGCGTGGGGGGCTCTGACCTGCACTCAGGTGCGGCTGCTTTTTCACCCCCTGGCAGAGACGCGGCTGTTTACTGTGCCCTCGAGGCCGGCCAGACACAGCCCCTTGTTGCTGATCTAGCGGAGACGGCGGCTCTGGGGGCACTCTGACGCAGCCTTGCTCCTTGCCTGCACTTAAAGGGGCTCGGCGACTCCTCACTCGGTGCTGGTGTTCAACACGCTGGAGGAGGCCCTGCGCAGTCAGCGGCTCTGAGTGCATGTGCGAGGGCTCGTTATCCACATGCATTCCACTCCATTTGTGAGGTAAGGCTTTTCTAATGACAACTAGCACCTCACACCAGCGAACATTATGTCACACGTGAACTCTAACTAGAGGCAGAGCGGGTCCCTGTCGTCCTTTTACAGACGAGAAGACGGGCACAGAGAAGCGGAGGGACTTGTGTCACCGTCACGGGCAGCTGGCCGGGGCCAAGCTCTGTGGGGGTGTGGGGCAGTCCTGTGTCACACGCGGACGCAGGGAGCCCTGCGGGGGGCCGGGGAGGGCGGCCCGGCGTGTGGGGCCGACAGAGAAGCCGCACTGGCCCCTCTGCTGCAGACCGCGGTTTGCTTCCATCTCCTTGAGTAGGTCACAGATGTTACCTGCATTGACTCCACCTTCCCAGAATCTGAAATGTGGTTTAAAGAGATTCCTGCAAAAAGATCACTGACTATATGAGTAACAAGCACAAGGTAAAGATCAGTAAAAACAATGGCTGCCACCACTATGAGACTATGACAGATCCTTAAAAGACCAAATCAATCAATCAATCAATCAATAGGGTAAACACTTAGATCTGTCTCTTCATGGTGAGGGGGACAGTTTATCAACAGGCAAAGAAGACACTTTTTCAAACAAGACATGGACCCCGGAGACGACGTTCAGAAAATCACACCCTGGCTGTCAGAAACAGTGCTCTGGCCCCGAGCTGGGGAGCGGAGACGGCCCGGCCTCTGCCACCGAGCAGAGCACAGCCTCTGGTGAGCAGAGGCGCCTGAAGAGGCCCAGTCGCCCAGGCACAGGTGAGAAGCCCCCGGCAGGGCTGGGGGCCTGCGGACCCCCCAGTGGGGAGGGTTACTTCCACTGCGTACTCGCGGGACAGCTCAGAGCACTGCTGGAACAAATGGCGAGGGAGCAAGGCTCCAAGGCATTTAGAAAGTGTCAGGAACACCACATGCTTTTTAGAACAAGGTCATCTTACTTGGGTGCTTCGGCTCCACGGCAACCCTCACGATGGGCGTGGCTTCAAAGGTGAGCGGTATGAAGGGCGGGCAGGCGGGCAGGCTACACAGGGTTGCGGATTTCAGCACGAAGTCCTGAAGGCCCCCTATTCCTGCCAGGAGGAGAGAGCCGTGGGGTCAGCAGAAGATGATAAATCCTAAACTCACATTAGAAAAATGAGAGCATGGACCCAGTACACACGTGACACGGAAAACACTAAGAAAGCGCTGCAAGGAATGAGGCGGACCTGGGTGGAGGTTTTGGACCCCTGGGTACTATTTAACTGCTGCTGCAGAGACAGAAATTCTGCTAGTTTCTGTTTTCTAAACGTACAAATCTGGTTCCAACAAACTGGGCCAACACACACCTATTCAGATCACGAAAACGATCGTGTCCAGATACACACGTCTGAAAACACTGGAACTATTCCTAATTATAACTCCTAGTTTTTAAAACATATTAAGTCCTACGCAGCCATCAGCCGGGGGCCTGAAGTGGAGCAGGGGGCTGGCCGACATTCTCCTGATGGCACAGGGTCAGGGGCTCCACAGCAACACCAAGCGTTAAATCTCTTAATCACCTTTAGCCCTATGCAAGCAGATGTGCAGAAGACATTATTTCATTAGAAATCCATCTTCATCAAAATAAAGGGTGTATCTGTCTTTGAGGAGATGGGAGCAGAGAGGACGCCCCAAAGGAGAGGAAGGGGCACCCTGAGCCTCACAGCCGGAGTGAGAGCAGACACACCTCAGAGCAAATGAAGAAACCCACGCAAAGGCCCCTGCTGTGCTCTGGGGCTCGGGGAGAGCTGAGGAAGGCTCGGGAGGGGAGACTGACGACGTGCTTCATGAAAAGGGGGCGCAGGAGAAATGGACGTGGACGCTTCGTCGGCATTCTACTTCCGCACCTGGGGCAGGAAGTAACGGCGCCCCCTCCGGCTGACAAGTGGACATAAAGGAACAGAGGATGGGAGGCCACCCAGTTGAACCTCCAGCTGGGCAGAGATGCAGAAGCAGAGGCTTCCAACACTCAAGCCTGGGAGGCGCCGTGGAGGTTTCTCCCAGTCTGAGCACACAGTGTGGCGCCCACCCCTATAACCACGCCCCTTGCATGCTCCCAGAACTCACTGTCTCACTACCTGAAGTGGCGGCTCTGGCTGTAAGAAAATCCTGCGTCACACTGAAACTTGCCCCCCCCCCCCCCCCCCGCAAAGGCACACATTCCTAGATCAGGACTGCAGAGTCCACAGAAAACGCGCTGCTTCTACTTGTACGAACCACCCTCTGGACTTTGAAGGCACCTGCCAAGCCCTTTTAACCTTTCTCTGCCTCACACTAAACACCATTAACTCCTCTACCTGTTCAGCTCGTGACACCATTTCTGGACCTTTCGTGTGTGTGTGTGTGTGTGTGTGTGTGGGACCCTCTCCACACAGAATTGTCACATTCGGTCCCTGTGCCTGGGCCGGCACGCAGTTTATGACCTCTTGGGTCAGCACGCAGAGAGGTCTCTGCTGGGCCATAGGTCGGGGTCTGCCCAAGTTTCCACCAAGTCTATCAGATATGACATCTCCCACGAGGCCAGGGGTTTAGGAAAACCCCACCGTAAATAGTCTCTTTCCAACCTCAGCCCCCCTGCTTCTGACCTCTGACCAGCATGCACTTCCTTCCTGCACACACGGCGTGTGGTTCCGATGAAAAGACAGAGCTGGTGCCTCCTCCCTATCACCTGAGACACGGGCTACAGATGGTCAGCATATTCTCAACACCGTCTCCTTGAACTTCTGGATTACATTTTGCTGTTCAAATGACCAGATCTATTCTTGCTATTCACATATGCCTTGATCTGTACACATGATTACAATTCCCCTAAAAAGGATCAAAGAAAAAACGTCGGTACCACAGTCTTCCTAGTCAAAAGGAAGAAATTTATGGAAAAAGTGGTGCTCTAAAGATAGTACAAAACTACACGTCACCCTTTTTACTTCTCTTAAAATACACTGTTAAAACCAAGGCAAGAGACCATGACAATTTTTTTTTTTGGTGAATCACAAGACAATGATTTAAAATCACTTTGAGAATTTCTCTATAAACTATTAAATAATTATTAAGTGTATAACTTGAAATCAATACAAAATATAATTTAAAACAAGCCCTTTGTTTTACAGATGAGGTTATCAAGCACAATTCTGAAAACAGGACAGTGTGCCCACAGTCACGCCATTCTGACAGTGTGAGTCTTTTCACTCTGATATATTCCCCTCCTCTGCTGGCCCACGTCAATTTTGTATTATGTAAGTGCCCAGATGATTTTCATCTGTTTACTTTCACTCCAGCTGCTTTAGTAACAACTAATAACAATTAGGGGGGAATGCTTCCTCCCTATAAAATACATTTGCTAAAAACATCTTTTGACTGGGGAGAGGGGATGGATGAAGAACAAGGGAGTCACGCCAGAACTTCTGGGAGAGAAGTGACCGTTGGGAAAATAAACACCCCAAACAGGTGTGGCTTTGATTTGCTTCAAAGATGAAGAAGGGTGAAAATTTTCTTACTGTCCATCAAACAAAGGCACATGGCTTAAATGAGAGAGAGAGAAAGGGGCTGAGATAACGGGACCACGGAGTGCAGACACTTCGCCAAACACAAGGGACCCCAGGTGCACACCAGTGACGTGTGTCCAGCCGAAAATGCACGACCCACGTTCTCTCTGGTCCCGGCTCTTCTCCACACAAGCACAACCAGACACGCGAGTGTGTGGACCACAGCTCACACCACGGGGAACACCCTTCTGAGGGGCGCACACGGGCCCTGGCCAGGCTGCGCACCGCACCCTTCACACACTTCCCAACCAAAACCCGGCATCTGGCAAACACTGCCAGGCCCAAACGTTTTCCAGGCAATCTCTAATGTTTCCCGTTACAGCGCATCTTGTACTGTATGAAACTAAAAATACCGTGTGGGGCCTGAGAGACGGATGGCCTCCCGCGGACAACTTTTTTTATTCTTAAAACCGGCCTGTATGTAGCACGGGTTGAATCAGCCCAGGATGAGGTCACGCTGGCAGGCAGAGACGGGGAAATCACGACCAAAGTCTAACCCTGCTTCCCGGGGGAGGCCTGCTCCTCGTCTGGACGGAACGGCACCCCCGCCTCTGGGGAAGTGTGAGTTTGTAAAGTACGCTTTCACTGAAGACAGAGAAACGTTATTGAGATTTAAAAAAAAAAAAAAAAACTGTGGGAAAAATATGTGAATCCTCTAGCGAGAATACGGTCTTCTAATGACCAGTTTTATTCCAAGCCAAATTTAACATCACTACACCCAGGAACCATCAACCTGTTCCCCGTGACACACACACATACATACACATGAACTACAGGCTTCCCGGGCGGTGGAATCTCGAAGACCTGGGTTTGGGAGACAGCCTTCTGCACTGGGCCCTTCGGTCCTTGCATGCTGAACAAGCCACGGTCCTCTGCTCTGTTTTACACCCTTACTCTGTGTCTCCCACAGAAACACAGATTCCGCTCCTGGACTCCACTGAGAAGGGAGTCAGGGGACCTGCGCACACGGTAACTTCCGTCATGGAGACAGGTAGGCGGGTGAGCACATAACTACGAATCGGGCCTTTTCCAAGCCCGCCTGGCTAGCACCTCCAGAGCGGATCGGCGCTGTGCAGCTAAGGTTTTCAGAGGACAGATCGGGTCTGTCCAGGATGCTCAACAAGCCCATGGAACCTACTGCCCTTCAACTCTTGGTGTTACAGGAGGTCCTAGGGAAAAGTCTTGCAACAGTGACATCACTAGGGCAGACGTTTTTTCTTCTCATAGGGACAAAAGGGGCTTATCCCTGCTAATAATTTTTAAGCAAGTCACATCGAGACTGGGGCTCTTTTCTCAGGAGACCACAGGAAATGAGAAAATGCAGAATCTGGAGAATGAACTTCTTTTCCGACAGACGTGTGGACGTCTGTGTAGATGTGTCGGGAGGGTGCTGGGGTGCGGGGCAGGCCCTGCTGGGGGCCCTGGTCAGAGACCAGCCCCCGTGTGCAGCTGCGGGGTATGCCAAGGCGTTTCCACTGCCTGCGAGGCCGCCACGGCCACCACCTCTTTTCTTCAGCCAACCTGCACCTTGTTCTGTTCCACTTGCAATCGGAGGAACCTACATGTAACGACTGCTCTAGCTTCATGCCAAGCGACCTAACCTTCCCAAGTTTCCGTTCCACACCCGCCACGTCACGCCCAGAGGAGACAGGGGCACTGTCCCAGGGTCACTGTGAGGTGGCGGAGCCCCGGGTCTGCAGGAGGCACTCACTGAAAAGAGGTGGCAGCAGCGGCGGTGACGACGGTCGTGGTAGTAGTGGTAGTTGTCTGGCTACTGGACACGTTACCCAACTCGGAGGTTTTTGGTGTGTGGGACAAGCTGCGCACTCGCTTTGTGCTGTCACCCAGTGACCTGTGAAGGAGGCTGCAATGCCCTCTCTGAGGGCACGAACGCGTATTTGTGGTCAGATCCCACTACGAAAGCTGCACCCTGTGCCACTGACATACATTTATATTTTTTACAACAACACATCATTTTATTGAAGTGATGCTCCCTCAAGACGTGCACTCCAATTCAAGTGATTTAAATAAATGTGAAACGTAGAAAGTTTAGTGCCTAAGAAGGACAGGATGCCTAGTATAGTTTGAAATTTTTTAAACAATGCTGAAAATTTGTTTTAAGATTTTATAAAAGAAAAGAGATACGGCTTTACTCAATGAAGAAATTATAACCAGATTTCTTCTACCTTTAAACTCAAAATATTTCCAAATAAAAACCGGGAGCAGGGTCACTTCTGGATGAAATGACACTTGGTCACAAGCACACAAAAGGTCCTGTCTGGAATGACCAAAGAAAGGAGACTGAGGGAAAACAGAACGAATGGGGAAGGTGAAGAAGGGCACCTCAAACTAGGAGCTTTTTCTGTGGGCAGTGGATCAGATGAAAGAAAAACAGCAAGGTCGGTAAATAACGCCTCCCTGAGAAAGTCACCCGACCTAGAAAACACACCCAGGCAGTGTGCGGTGGTTAACGGTCGTCTGTCTGGCTACAGATCAACGGAAATGAACGA